GAGTAACGATTTGGCGGATATGCGTGAGCGACTGGGCCGTATGGTTGTTGCTACTTCTAGAAGCGGCGACCCCGTGACTTGCGACGACATTGGTGCCGGTGGTGCCCTTGCCGCCTTGATGAAGGATGCCATTAAGCCAAATTTGATGCAGAGTTTGGAAGGCACTCCTGTGATGGTGCACGCTGGTCCCTTTGCCAACATCAGTATTGGCGCCAGCTCTGCCATCGCCGATAAGCTTGCCCTGAAGCTTGCCGGTACCGAGCCTGATGAGGACCATGAAGCCAAGACCGGTTTCGTGGTCACCGAGGCTGGCTTCGACTTCACAATGGGTGGTGAGCGCTTCTTTAACATCAAGTGCCGCTCCTCTGGTCTGGTTCCGGACACCGTCGTTATTGTGGCTACTGTCCGTGCGCTGAAGGTTCACGGCGGCGGCCCCGAGATCAAGCCCGGTGCCCCTCTGCAGGAGGTCTACCGCACCGAGAATGTGGATATTCTCCGCAAGGGTTGTGTTAACCTGCGGAAGCACATTGCTAACGCCAAGCTGTACGGCGTCCCGGTGGTGGTGGCTATCAATAAGTTCGACACCGATACCGAGGCTGAAATTGCTGTCATCAAGGAGGAGGCGATCGCCGCTGGTGCCGAGGATGCCGTCCCTGCCAACCATTGGGCTGAGGGTGGAGCCGGCGCTGTTGATCTGGCCAAGGCTGTCATAACCGCCAGCTCCAAGGAAAAGGACTTCCGGCTCCTCTACGACCTGGATGGTACTATCCAGGAGCGCATCGAGCGCATCGGCCAGGCCATGTATGGCGCTGAGAAGGTCGAGTTCAGTGAATTGGCTCAGAAGAAGGTCGACGCCTACACCAAGCAAGGGTTCGCGAACCTGCCGATCTGTATCGCCAAGACTCAGTACTCACTCAGTCACGACCCAGCCCTCAAGGGTGCCCCCACCGGCTTCACTGTGCCCATTCGGGATGTCAGATTGGCCGTGGGCGCTGGATACCTGTAAGTTTTTATCCCCGCATTTTGTGGGAATTCGTCACGCTAACATAGCTATAGCTACGCTCTGGCCGCCGATATCCAGACCATTCCCGGACTACCCACTGCCCCCGGCTACCTTAATGTGGATATCGACCCCGAGACTGGCGATATTGACGGGCTGTTCTAGGTTACGATATAGATAAAGGAGATATTTGGAGCTTGCATATACCACTGTTCGAATTTCGATTCTTCAACACATACAATTGGCGTCTGATAGTTAGGGCCCTTAGATGGATTTTTCAACACCGCGCAATCCGGGGCAATTGGACACGCGAAATTCATCCCGACATATTATTTCATAATCAATATCAATTTTTTTCTCTCTGAATATAGATCGTACAATTCGGTTGGAGCTCTTCCGGGGTCAAAAAGAGGGCCGGTCAATGGCCGGAGTTGAGCTCCGTTCTCCGGGAACCGCTTTACCACCGCGTATAGACTTCTTCGGCGGGTCGATTGATGGAGCTTGGAGGTAAAAAAAAGGAAATTTTACCTGAGAAAGGATTAGATCGATGACTCAGGACACTTGGAAGAGAAAGATATAAAGAAAAAGAAAAGTCCACGTGGAATTGTCCCAAAACATTCCCAAACCAAAATATCTTGATATCTCGTGACCGTCCGGCTTCGGCGCTTCTTCTTGCGGAACTGTTCATAAAGTCGCCAACCTCCATTACACCGGACAAGGCTTTTTCCTCTTCCACTCCTTCGAACCCTCCAGTTTCCTTGCTATTCGGTAATTATCCCTTGGCTTACTGCCTTCCTGGTCTTATTCCGATCAATTCCCGTATTGCCCCGGTGCCTTAACCCCCCACGTACACCCCCATCCCCGAAGTCGCATCTTCTGTCAACCGGGAAATTTCCCGACTCCACATCTTCCTTTCTGCCGAACCTCATTCCCTCGGTAGTAAACCAGCGAGTGAGGCGACTCGCATTCCAGCCAAACAGAAACTGTGAAACTAGCGCTGACGTCTTTAGCCACTATCCCACGATGAACGCTCTCCGGTCTAGTTCCGCACTCGCTCGTCGGTCCCTCGCGACCCCTCCTGCCCCTCTCTCTCCCACTTCCCGTCTTATTTCTTCCTCTTCTTTCACTTCCTTACTTTCTAAGAGATCTATCTCCTCTACCTCTCTTTCCCAACGAACTAATCGAGTTGTTGCTTGTTCCCGCTGGTCCGGATCGATCCCCTCGTCTTTCACTCAAACCCGCACTATGGCTTCCGAAACCAAGATTAAGGTCAAGACCCCTGTGGTCGAGTTGGATGGTGATGAGGTATGGGACAACCCCCCTTTTATAGTTCAAGCTTTCGATCAGCTGGCTTCACAAACCCGCGTATTCTCGTGCTTGGCTGCCGCATTTTCGTCGAAAACGCGGGGAATCACGGGGAATTTTACGATAATTCATGTGTCAAGCCGACGATTATGCCGCCCAAGGCATTGAAGCTAGACATTGGCATGTGCTAACCGGACGATCTTCCTCAACATAGATGACCCGTATTATCTGGCAAGACATCCGTAACAAGGTAAGCCTATCGTCCCATCCTCGCTCGGGTCAGACCTAGATGATCGCCCACCCCGGTTAATTCTCGATACTAATGATCTGCCTATAGTTGATCCTGCCTTTCCTCGATATCGATCTCAAGTACTACGATTTGGGTATCGAGTACCGTGATCAGACCAATGACCAGGTCACCATTGACTCCGCCGAGGCTATTAAGAAGTACGGTGTCGGTGTCAAGTGCGCCACCATCACCCCCGATGAGGCCCGTGTTGAGGAGTTCAAGCTGAAGAAGAGTAAGCTCATCAATGGAAGTTTGTATCGTGTAACACTAAAGCTAACCATCTCTAGTGTGGCTCTCCCCCAACGGCACTATCCGTAACATTCTGTGAGTAAACTCAATCCAACTGGCTTTGACCATCACTAATAATCTATCTAGTGGCGGTACCGTGTTCCGTGAGCCCATTATCATTCCCCGCGTTCCCCGCCTGGTCCCTGGCTGGACCAAGCCTATTATTATTGGCCGTCACGCCTTCGGTGACCAGTACCGTGCCCAGGACCGTGTCATCCCCGGCCCTGGTAAGCTCCAGTTGGTCTACACCCCTACCGGTGGAGAGCCCGAGTACCTCCAGGTCTACGATTTCGAGGGTGGTGGTGTCGCTCAGTGCCAGTACAACACCGATGATTCCATCGCTGGCTTCGCCCACTCCTCCTTCAAGATGGCTCTCAGCAAGGGTCTTCCCCTCTACATGAGCACCAAGAACACTATCCTCAAGAAGTACGATGGTCGCTTCAAGGACATCTTCCAGGAGATCTACGAGAAGGAGTACAAGAAGGACTTCGAGGCCAAGAAGATCTGGTACGAGCACCGTCTCATTGACGACATGGTCGCCCAGATGATCAAGTCCGAGGGTGGCTTCGTCATGGCTCTTAAGAGTACGTTTTTCCGTCTATCTTGTGTTAGTTTATTTTATCTAACGTATGTTCAGACTACGACGGTGATGTCCAGTCCGATATCGTCGCCCAAGGATTCGGCTCTCTCGGTCTGATGACCTCCACTCTGAGCACCCCCGATGGTAAGGCCTTCGAGTCCGAGGCCGCCCACGGAACCGTGACCCGTCACTACCGCGAGCACCAGAAGGGTAACGAGACCTCCACCAACCCCATTGCCTCCATCTTCGCCTGGACCCGTGGTCTTGTCCAGCGTGGTGAGCTCGACAACACCCCTGATGTTGTTGCCTTCGCCGAGGAGCTCGAGCGCGCCTGCATTGAGGTCGTCAACGACGAGGCTATCATGACTAAGGATTTGGCTCTCGCCTGTGGCCGCAAGGACCGCGAGGCTTGGGTCACCACCAGCGAGTACATGGCTGCCGTTGAGCGGAGGCTGAAGGCCAACCTCAAGGCTCGCCTGTAGATTCCCATTTGCTGCAAAATTTGATGAGATACTCCCGTCTTAGATTCCCTAGAAGGACAGGCATTGGTCTAGCTTTTGGTCACTTTTGTATAGTATGCAATTGAATTGTCATTCTATATATTATTTTCTAAAGTATATCGTAGACAAACAGGTTCTCAACGGTAGTATCTAGGTTCCTGCGCTTGTTTCAGGTGATACAGTTTTCCATTAGCCCGGCTCAACCACTCCCTGTCTACCTCGCTACCACAGGGGTAAAAAGTTCTCCTGTATCGATTATGGGACGTAACATATAACACTCAAAACGTCGCTCACGCCACAATCTGCTTGGGGACAAAATGGAAGATTAACAGGAATCGGAGTGTATCCAAATCAGGAAATAATGGCTTCATTCTCCTAGCCAAACATCAACTTCAAACCCTAAGCAGGACAGCAACCATACAGAACGTGTCCCAAGTATGAAGCAAACAAGGATCTTCCACCTGATAATGTGATATCTATCCCAAAGCCGTGGTAACTTTCTCTAAAGTTACGGGAGGTCGTTACCGAACAATCACCAAAAACCTAGAACCAATTAGGGTATGATTCGGAGATATGGGATCCACAACTTTATTCGGACAGCCAATCATATCCTCTGATTTTAGTTAGCCATCGAGGTCTTGACGCAAGTGGTTATCGTCGCTTCCCGATGCGGCCAATTCCTCTTTTCGACGGTCGAACCAACTCTCATACAGGGAACTTGATTGGAAGACCAGGGGCTTGGGTGAAAACTCCTGCCAATCTGGCTGTCAAACTCGTTTGTTCGTCACAGGGTAGCCGGCGCCAGATAGATCTGGGTTAAGACAGGCGTTTTCTTTCTTCCTTTCATCTTACCTTCTACTTGGGATTGGAATTGTACTTCTTTGCTTGAAATAAGACTACCTACCAATAATCATCCGCTGTGTGATGGCGGTGCTGTTCTACTGCATTCCGTTGAATACGATGCCACACGTCTACGGCGGTCTCCATTAGGATTTTGCTGGTATCTTCGAGACTTGTCAATTGGTCCTTGCCGGTCGAATGTACGTTGTGGCCATCTCGTCGGTCTTTACGGGGCTGGCGGTTCTGGTTGTTGCCCTGCGGTTATACACTCGGATCCACCTGGTGAAGGCTCCTGGACTGGACGATTTGATTATATTAGTTGCATTGGTATGTATTCCCATATGATATGTACACCACGAGTGCATGCTTCCGGGGGAGGGAGTGTATGGAAAGTGAGAACCCAATACTAATCATCCAGCACAGCTCGTCGACGTGGCATTCTATGCCTTTACGATGCTTGGTAAGTGGTCTACTCCAGCAATGCCTTGACCGAAACATATCCGAATCTAACAAGTTCCTCCACAGAACGATCATACGGCATCGGAATCCGCGCATCAGAACTCTCTGAATATGACATCGAGCGCCAACTATTTGTACGGCAAAAGTCCCTTCCGTCATCGAATGGAACAAGCCACTAATGAAAACCAATCACAGTGGTTGTGGCTTTCGGTCCCTTTTTACAACATGACTATGATCCTAGCCAAATTCTCCGCACTCACACTCTACGCCCGCCTCTTCAGGCCCCGTCGCTTCCTGCTAATCACCTACAGCTTAATGGGCTTCCTCGTTATCGTAGGTCTGTGGACGAGCCTGAGCGGCTTTCTCTTCTGCATTCCTCTCCACGCCTTCTGGAGTCCATCGGCAGAGGTTCGCGACTCAAACTGTCTACCTGCCAGCCCTGTCTGGTTCACCAATGCGGCACTCCAGACTTCTACCGATCTGGTGATATTGGTTCTTCCCCTGTCGCTATTATGGAAGTTACAGCTACCGAGAAGACAGAAGTGGGGGATCCTGGTGGTTTTCGGTCTTGGAATCTTGTAAGTCAAAGTAACATAGTTTGTGGTTGATCTCGGGAAATGAAGCTGACTCTGCTTACAGTATTGTTGGCGTTAGTGCCGCTCGCATGTATCCATTAAGCATCATGGTTGGCGGAGGAGATTTTACGCGTAAGTATATACCATCTCTCCACGTCTTGCGATGCACGAAATCAACAACAAGACTAAAACACCGATAGAGGCAAATGCCAAAGCAGCCCTTTGGTCCTGCCTCGAAGCAAACGTATCCATCATCTGCATCTGCCTACCACCACTCCACCCGCTCTTCTCTCGCATCTTCTCATTCTTCTTCCTCCCTCGACCGATCCGCTCAAGAGCCTCGAGGTGTCATTCCAGCAGATCCCCACTGAACCGGGATGCCGGGATCTGGTGCAACGAACTCTTCAGTCCCGGAACAGCAAGTTACTCTGCTAGCATCTCCAAGGTCGATACGAACGAAGAGGAGCAAGAAAAAGCAGAGGGGATTCGTGTTAAACGGGAGCTGAGGATGCAGTCGAATACTGTTCCTTCTTTCTCCCGACCTCAGTCTGCCAATGGTACCTATCCGGATATCGAGATGACAGAGGGGTCAGTCTGAAATCGTCTGAGAATCCATGCTCGAATGCTAGTTTTGAGAGGGATTTCGGGGATTTCGAGTTCCCGGACTATAAGAATCGAATGAATGCTCCTATTTGAAATTGTCGGGAGCTTGGTTTGTATATATGGAGCATCACCAATGTCTGGGATGTGATTGCATATACTGATGATATGAATAACGATGTTGATTTTATGAGTTTTATTGAGTCATGTTTGATGCGGGTGGAATATTTAGAAAGCTTGATATATAGTACCTTGTTATACCCCGTTCGAGACTGGGGAAACTTCTGTGGAAACCTCAAGAGTACCAAATATAACTAGTGCGAATAAGAAATAAATATCAACCCTTCCGTCTCAAGCCTAGAACGACTCAAAGATTCGCCCGCGAGATCATCTTCCTCTGCATAGCCTGTTCAATCGCCTTGGCCGCAGCAACACACTTCTCTTCACCGAACCGGCCGCCAACAACCTGTATCCCGACAGGCATACCCTCCACCAGGTTGATATCATCTAAAAAGGAATTAGCACCGTCCTCAAAGGCTCTAATGTTATATACTCACACTGCTGCTTATTAAACCTATCACTATCATTCCTCGGAACATGGGCCAGCCACTCTTCATCCGGAACATCCTTCGTTCTCGAAGCAGTAGTTACAGGCATTGCCAACGCGGCATAGCCAAGGAAATTCCAGATACTCGTGTAGCCCACATATGCACTGGATTTGACCCACGTCCACGGTTTGTACCCCACCCATGAGGTATTGGGCATGATCAGTGCGTCGATATCGGAGGATATCCATCTATCGAGATATGCAGATTCGAAGTTGTATTTATCCGCATTGAGCTGCGAGATATGTTAGCAGATAATAGCCACCGTGCCAATATGGGAATTCCTCACTTGGTGCGTTTGACTGGTCGTCAGAGTATCCTCGGGCTTACCAACAAGCATACCCTCAACAAGCGGCTCGCCGGTTTTCTCTATCTGTCTTCGACAGCCCTCACCGCCATCAGAGAAGATAGCCTTTGCCCAGAGGTCATATGCATAACTGTGCGAGGAGGCATCCCACTCGAACACTGGGATTTGTCAGTACGTCGTACAGAATACGCATTGGGAGTGGAGGTTGTCAGTTATAATACATACCTTCATGCCCGGCCGCTTCCAGCGCCTCGACAACCTCCCGCATAGCCCTCGCAATCGGCGGCTGAACCTTGACAACACCATCATCAACCAAGAACCCAATCCTCAACCTCTTCGCACCAGGCGAAGCCAACTCCTTCCTCCACGCCACAGGCGCGACATGCTGATCAACCTCCCACGGCCTCGACTCCGGCAAAACCTCCATATACCGCTCAATAGTCACCAGGCTACAGGCCATAGGCCCAGCAACCGATCTCACAATATCCTGCCCGGGACTAGAAATCATCGAAATCAGCACCCCCTCTAACAAACGCAAATAGAGAAAAATAAACTTACTTCCCCCGTTCATACGGATGTCTACCGGGACTAGGCGACAACCCGTAAAGTCCACACAAAGCAGCCGGGATACGAATCGAACCACCCAGATCAGTGCCAATACCGAGCACGCTTCCACGCGCAGCAACCAGCGAGCCCTCGCCGCCGGAACTCCCGCCGGAAATCAGACTGCGGTTGAAGGGGTTGACGCACTGGCCGAAGACGTGGTTGTACGAGTCGGACATCATCATTGACTGCGGCAGATTGGTTTTCACGTAGAGGACGGCGCCGAGGCGGCGGAGTGTGCGCGCTACGGATTTATCTGCTTTGGCGGGGTTGTTGGTGAGGCCGACCCAGCCTGGATTTTGGGGTTTTGTTAGTATATAAGGATAGGTGGCTTTTTGCTATATGGAAGTGGAAAGGGAGATTAGGTTACCGATTGAGGTGTCAACTCCTTCAACGGAGAATAGATCTTTGATGGATACTGGTAGTCCGTGTAGAGGACCGACAGTCTTTCCCGTCTGCGCGAGGTAGTCATCTAGTTTCTGGGCAACGGCAAAGGCCTCCTCGAAGAAGATCTCCGTGCAGCATGTTGTGAGTTGGTGGGCGAGAGCGGCGCGCTTGGCGAAGACTCGAGTCAGCTCTAGGGACGAGAGTTCTCCAGATGAGAGCTTGCGGAGAAGGACGGCGATATCAGTCTCTTCCGTGAGAGCCAGTTCCTCTGGACTGAGAATTTGGCGCAGATATGCCAGAGCGTCTGGGGTGGATTCTATAGAGGGAACGGGATCTAAGCGCCATTCGGGGATGATGAGCGAGAGCTGGTCGGCGCGCTTTTGAGCGCAACGGTCTTGGTACGAGGTAGAGGTAGCCATGGGAAATAATTATATTGTATGTTTATGATTGAACTATGGAGGTAGGAAACTGGATTCTCAGAGGACCTTTATATGCTCACCAACAATGTAGATAAGGAATGTGATACCTTACCCGATTAGGAAGGCAATCTAACCGAGACTAAACCCCACACCGCATATCCTCCACCTCCTCTCGCACTGCGCCTCTCCGTCCGGATAACGAGGGAATTCACATGACTGGCAATTACGCCAGTAGCCTCGTATTATCTCGCATTGCCGTGCTATCGAGGCACTCATCCCTATCAGGTATGCGGGGGTAGCTAGGTGCACGTAGAACCTCGATGTAGAAGGGATCTCCGCGATAGCCTGGCAAGCTCGATCCACCATGGAAGACACTACGTTCGACTGATATGTCGATGCAGATGAATCGCCGCCCGTGGCCATTCCTGCGCGACCGAACGCCATGATTGCCGCGGCGCCTCTATACACGGTCGCAGCAAGATTGCGGTCCGTCGAGTCGCCCGAGTTGAGCTGTAGAGTTTGGGCTATTGCTCGAGCACAGAGGTCCATAGCGCAGGTTCCATTGCCATTGCGGTGTTTTGCAAGATAAACAAATAAATCGAATGTATCTGCTGGACATCCGACTGAGTCGAAGAATCCAATAGTTAAGGTCTCACGATGCCAATCCTCGAAAATTAATGGACTTTCCCTGACAAGGGCGCCTGTAACATCAAACCACACTAGATAGGCTAGGATATCCGCTAGAGCGGAGATCTCGGCGCAGAGGTTGTCGAGATCGGCCTTGTCTCGGCAGTGGAGATCTAGCAGCGAGCGCGCGCCTTGAAGATGGCAATGCCAGTTGCCAAAGGATCCGCAACATACTTCAAACATAGCGAAAGTGGCGATGCCGAAAAGCGCAATTGGGTGTGCGGACTGGACAACTTGATTCAGGTTTGTCAAGGCCACTAGATGCGACTGGAGGGATTCTTTGTTGTTTGCATCTTGGATGCGCGAGCGGGCGAAGTTTAGCGTGCGTGAAATCAGTTGGATTCCTTCTTCTGGAATGTCACGACTGCTGGATTGTATTTGTTGGCAGAAAGTGTCCAGGAGGTCGACGAAGCCGTATAGATTGATAGATGCTGACTTGTAAACTTCGACATTTGGCGATTCGTCATTGGGGGTCTGTGGTGAGGTGCTTTTTGGCGATTTCGACTTCTTCTTATCATCTACCCATATAACTCGCTGTGGATAATTGCATGCTTCTCCACCCTGGACACAGGCTTGACATCGGGGCCGGTTCAGGTCACATTTGAGCCCTCGGGCTTTGCAATGACCACAGTCTCGGTCGTGCCGAATGCCTCGGGGCTTTTTCACTTTCATGGTGTGTGTGAAGTTGCCAGGCTTGGAAGGCTATCAAGATGTATAGTGCGGGGGTTGCGGACACTTCCCCGATTAGTCTTGGGTGGAGCTCTCGTATCTTCGATGTTGATCCTTTTGGTGTTTTGGTTTCGGCTGTTTCTATATCTTCTTTGGTGCCAGAGGAAAAACAAGAAAAGAGTGTGCATTTTATCTAGCATTAACCCTGCAATAATTGGGTTCAATTCTGGTTGAGGTCAACAAGTGAAGGACACACGCTGCGAAGAAAAGTGAAAGACAATATCATCAACCGGGAGCCAGTTGGAAATGATCAGAGACAAGATAAAACGAGGGCAAAGTCACAGCCGGTCGAGAAAAGCAAAATGAAAACAAAGCCTGCAGCAAGAATAGAGAAAAGAGCGTGAAGGGAAACGAGAGACAAATCTGCTAGCCATGTGCTAGCTGAGAGCAAAAAAGCAATCTCGCCAGCAAGAACATAATAACCCAATGAATAGCCAGACTCAGAAAAAAGCAACAGAAAAGAAGGACATCTATCTATAAACCAGAAACCAGTCAAATAACTTTTGTGAATAATAACATCGGTCAAGACAGTGATGCAGCCTCACGTCTTGTTCAGACCATTTCTTTTTGAGTAACTTAGTGCTTGCACATACCCGGGCTCCAATTCGGAATCCGCATCATGTTTCGATATGGCTGCTTGCCGCGATCGGATTGCTTCCTGCGTTGCATCATGCGCTCACGTCGATCGCGTCTCTTGGTAGCCGAATTCGGTTGCTCTGGCTTCAGGTTCAGCGCCTCCATTGAGATCGCTAACGGTGATTCTGAGAACTTCCTTTCTTCCGCGCGTCGACGACGTAGTATAACCTTTCGACGATGTCTTGAGATAACACGGATGGAGGAGATCTTGGAGACCTTGGAATTCCTTGAAGCCTTGGAAACCTTTGACACCTTTGAGTCTGAGACTTGAGAAAGACTCTTTGCTTCTGCAACACTGATGCTTGCATACAAACTGCTTCCACGGGAGAGCTTTCTTCTTCGCATCCTCTTCATTTGCTCGATGGCAGCAACTGTGAGAGATCGAGTGGACGCAACGCTTCCACTTTGCATTGATGCAACGCTTTCGTTTTGTAGGGATGCAACGCGCTGGGGCTTGGCAAACGGTCCATCATGTGCATGTGGATAAGGGGACTCAGGCCTGCGAGTGTTCACCGAGTTGGTCGCGGACAGAGGAGGGCTGCCAACGCCGACTGTTCCAAAGATGTGAGGAGGAAGCGAGTTCTCGATGCTCATACGTCGTTGCATTCCAGCAGGGCCTGGTGCAATATCCGGATAATGCGAGTTCATGTCGAGCACACACATTCCAACAAAAGGCGCCTGGAGGATCGCACTGAAAGGAGGCTGCTCCAAGAAGTGGCTTGGGGGGCCATGATGGAGCACCGTAGGCAAGGAAACAGCCTCAGTGTGCTGGGTACTTGGTGAGGCGGGTTGTTCCTGACAGTCTTTGGTCGGGCAGGACTTATTGGCAGCCACAGGAGAATCATCTCGTGAGACACTCTGGTGCAGTGAGTCGACACCGTGCGAGCAGTGATGACAGACAACGTCATATTCCCCTTCTCGTGGTATGAAGGTCATTGACGCCGGGTACATTCCCATATACATGTCAGGGGCCCAGTTGCAAACCTCCAACCAAGAAGGTAACTCGTCGAGTGCGATCAGAGGCGTCCAAAAGCCTCCGGGACGCAGGACGCAAAATCGTGGACGTGGGCGTAGAAGAAAGCTTGGAGGGTGCTGCTGAGATTGGACAAAGTCCGGACGTGGGGTAGTATACTGCATTTTGAAGAGACTGGAAGAAGATGGAAATGAGTGTAGTGGAACAATGATTGTATAATGAAAGAGTGTTGTATGAAAGAATGTATGGGTTATGGAAGAGGAAGAAGAAGAAGAGGAGAAGGAAGAAGAAGAGGAAGAGGAAGAGGGGAGTGATGAAGTTCTGTCGGTTCTGAGGAAGGAACAGCATAGACAGTATTGCAGGAAGGAGCGATGGGTCAAATGTCAAAAGGAAAGAACGATAGTGATGACCATTCCCAGTAGGTATGAATCTGATTTCTAGCAGATGTTCTTATACTGAGGAGCGATTAGCTAGAGTACTATATTCCATCTTGTCATGACTGCTGGACAATATATATCGGGCACGAGAGAAGTCATCAAGGTCAATGATGCCATATGTATATGCGATGATATAGCGTCAGATTGTTCACTTCCTTCCAAGTTCTGCCATGGCATCACCATAATGTCGCCTTCTAGATTCTCTTCGTAGTCAAGTTGAGTCAGAAACCTCCCAGGCTGATTGATACTAGGGCTATTTTCTCCTTATCTTCACTTATCGCATGTTATCGGCCCTTCAAAGCTTATCGGCCCGGATGCAAACAACATCCGAGCTACTCTGGCAGCCAAGCCAAGTATTGTACACAACTTATACTCCGACTCTTACCTACTTACCTTCCCCTCTCCTCAACTCCCTTCCTCCTCAATTCCAATCTTTTATCAACAAAACCGACTCCATCATGACAACCATCACAGACCCAACGAACGCCACCCGCGCAACCCCAAACATCCCCATCGAGAAAGCAGTCCTCCACATCGGCAGCTCAACCTTCATAAGCGCCCCCAGCCAAGAAGTCTGGGCAGCGCTAACGAACACTTCAACATGGCCAAGCTGGAATAGCTTTGTGCCACGGGTAACCATTCGCTCCCAGCCAACCCCAGACCCATCTCAATCCACCTCTGCACCGGACCCAGCACCAGCGTCAATACCAGCATCAGCACCAACACCAACCTCCCAATCAACAGATACAAATACAGAACTATCTCCAATCCTCCAAAAAGGAACAAAATTCACCCTACACGTCCGCATGGACCCAACCTCAACCTCCACCAAGCCCCAGCCGGCAACAGACGTACACGCTCTCATCAGCGAATGCAGAGCGCCGAACGCGGAGACCGGCGAGGTGGGCCGTATCGTTTGGGTCGCGGACTCCGAAGCGCCGGGTTCGTTTTCGCCATCGCTTTTGACGGCGGAGCGCGTGCATGAGATTACGGGTGTTGAGGGTGGGACAGAAGTGCGGAATTGGGAGGCACAGGTTGGGTGGTTGGTTTATGCGGTGCGGTGGCTGTATAAGGTTAAGCTGCAGGCGAACTTTGAGATGTGGGTGGCTGATTTGAAGGGGTTTGTTGAGGGGGGCAGTATTGCTAGTTCTTCTTGATTACGCGTTGGAACTGTTGCCCTGCGAGCTAGGCTCGAAAAATCTGGATATTTCCATAACATGATCAATAGTTAGCCACCTGGGCACTTTATTTCGCATGATTCAACGAAAAGTGGCATGATACGAGGGCTTGAACATCCCATTGATCCTGCTCCTTGACACCGGAATCGGATGAGAATGGCCTGAGCGTTGAGCCAAATGGCATTTGCGATGGATTCAGATGGTCAGTAGACCGCAAACGCGGCCGACGTGTCATGTTATTTGATTAAATATTATGTTCCTCCAATATGCAAGTATGCAAATATGCAAATATGCGATCAAAATGTACTCCAATGCCATACATGTTCCGCCAAACTCCATCTAAACAGGGTATATAGACAATGCAAATATAAACAAATAACCAAAAGAGTATAGCAAATATATCCCGTCCAACATCAAGCAGACGCAAGCTCAACCCAATCAGGCGTCGTAATGCGCATCGCCGGATCCTTAACAACAGCCGGCTTGACAATGCGCTCAACGAACCCATTCCTCGGCACCCGACTCCCATTCATACCCGACCTCGCAAAATCCACAATCTGATGCCCAGCCCTCGCCATCTCGAGCCTGAGCCGATGATTCATATTAGGATAAAGCAGCAAATCGCCCGTCGCAGTTGCAAGCAGCGTAGCCGCCAGCGAGAAGACATCCGACGCAGGCGTCGGCGCCATCTCAATAGATGTAAGGGAAGCCAGCATTTCCGGCGCCGTGAACGGCGGCGTGAACGAAGGCATCGATGCGCGCGTCGTATCGAGCGGCGCATCGGCCGTCGGGATATCAACGGTGGCGGAGAAATCCGCGAAAAGAGGCTCGTAAGGGAACTCGGGAGTCTCACTGCACTCGTCTGTGTCGACGGGCCGGAGGAGGATGTTGTGTGGTTTGATGTCGCCGTGCACGACGCCGGCGACTTGATGCAGCCAGTTCAGGCCGGCGATTAGCTTGCGCGCGAGCTCTTGGTACGAGGTTGGGCCTTGGACGGGGTCGAACATTGTTGCTGTTGCGGGTTTGCGGGTGCGCGCGAGCTTGGATTGTTCTTCGATGTATAGTGCCAGGGAGGTGGGGACGGCGGTCATTACTAGTGCGCTGAGGTCGGCGCTGTAGCCGTGGAAGGGGACGATGTAGTGCTCGTGGCCTTGGGTGAAAGTGAGGCGGGTTAGGGTTGATGCTTCGGCTTTGAGGACTGGGCGCGCATCGCGGCGCAGTGGTGCTTTCACGGCTAGAACTTGCGATCTTGAGGTTGGGGAGCTTGGGGGTGTGCCGGGGAGATTGGTTTGCGGGCGTGGCAATGAGCGCGCTTTGTATACTATGCTCCAAACGCCGCGGCCGAACTCGACGGGGCGGTTGTTCTCGTCGTGGCAGATTTCGAGGTCGTCGGTGAATTGTAGAGTGCCGGCATTGTCCTTGGAAATGGACGTTTGCTTTGCCAAATTTTGGAATGGACTTGGAGTTGATCTTGGAGGCCTTTCTTTGGCTATAGGCGTCACCGGTGGGGTGAGACTCGATGGGGCTTGAGCCGATAGTGGTGGGCTTTGGCCGGCTGTCTGAAGCGACAATTGAATTGGGGAACTGGCCATATTTTCAGTGCGCAATACCGGAGGAATTCGCGAGCAGATCAGGGTCTATATGATCCCGGGGGAACGGGCGAGACCCGCGTAATCGTTCTGATATCAACAGCGCCACCGGGACATGCGATAGGCAAATTAAGCCTCACCCACGGGTGCAAGTATAATAATGACGGAGTGGCGAATGGTGTTTATAAGATTGGGCTAGAAGATAGACAACGAATAACAGGGAAATGGCCATGCTAAAAGTACTCAAACCAACAGCAAAGAAAAAAAAAAACAACCCAAACCGGCCCACTTCCGGTCTCGAACATGCAAAGGGAAAAAGATAGAAAAGGGAAAGATACAAGATCGACGGTGACATCCAGATACTACGGTGTCACTGGATAAGTGCAAACGGGGGGGAACTAATCTGGAGACGGGTCCAATTCATTTCCTTTGACTTTTTAAGATTAGACAAGTAAATATTCAACGGTTCGACTTATTTCGGCCACTTGCGATTTGCCGCTTCGAGTTGCGATCGGCTTCCGTTGGACTCACCCGAATCTGACCAGTCAAGGGCAACCGTTGAACACATGTTCGATCCTGTGGATCACGTAATCACGGCAGGGTCCCGAGGTCAGGTGATTGACCAAAGATCACGTGGACAGGATTAGTCATCCTGCCCTAAGCCGCCTATGGCTACCAAGGCCACGGGCTGATTGCACCGGAGACGAGAAGGTTCAACCCGGTCATGGCGAGGGTCACTGATCGCTTGAAGACAAACGACTAGTAGAATGAGGCAATCAAGTCCATCTTCAAGCGCGCCAAGCTCATCCCTTGGTCAGTAATATATGATATCCAATCCCAGATAGCCATGATGCCAACAATGTTGAGGCAAAGTCGAATCCATGGCTCCCATTAAGGGCTCGTCTGTTTTTGGAATCTTCTTAACCAGCGAGCAGATACAGTAGTGCTCTAGGGGCTTGGGTATGAGTCACACTCGGGAAGCGGCCTGTGACAGCAAAGCGCCAGCACGATCTTGTCGTCACTGTCAATTCCCGAAATGGCGTCCAGGCGCAGTGACGACGAACCTGGAACACGAAGTTGGCCGCCATGCGACAGCCTCATTTGTAGCATGGTCGAAATTCCGACATCACACTGCACCAGGTGATTTGTCTTTCGGGGATTTTGCCCTGGGCAGTCGTCGACACCATAGTGGAACTGGAAAGTGGGATATCGGGCGCTCTTCCGCTTCATGTTATAACTTGGCTCCCTCCATTCTGTCACCTTCCATCGAGTCGGTGCTTATTGGGACAACTGACATCATGGGGTAAGCCTGGGGTTTATCTAGTAAACCCTACTTTCCTTTTACCATGTATGATTGCCTGGACAATGACCCGAATATGAGGTTAAGAGAAAATCCATGATTCTGGTTGTTCCGATCGGATTGTGGGCGAAGTCTGTCATAGTGTGCGTCCACTTCGCATATTTAAACCACAATAATACTCGATTTCGCACAATATCATGGGGGTATCAACTAAAAGAGCATAATGTGATTTTCCAACGGGTTCTTCGCCAGGGTTTACAGTTTCCGTAAAAATCCGATTGCTCAGCCAGCCTACTTTCTAGATACATATGCAAAAATGGAACCAGCCTATTGAAGCTTTCAATTCAGCTCTCTGAACCCCTGTTCCTAAGGCTTCTTATTTCTTCAATCAAATCGATCTTCAAGCCACGGAGTAGTCATCCGTATCACCCGGGTGAAAACTGGGTGAAATCTGGGTGAGACGGGCCGGCGCGACCACCACACGTGGCTCAGCCAGTGTTTAGTGCTATATCATTGGGTATGAGTGCAAGGTCTGGAACGTTTGATATGCAATGTGCTCCGTATAGATATCAGATTTTCCCTGACTGGGGGGGCTGCTGCCGCACATTTTATTGAAATGATCCCCTACAGTAGACTTTGGGCTCGACTTTGAGGGTGGCTTGGAATGCGCGAGATTTGGGCGAAGTGTCGTTTGGCCAATAATATTCAATCGGCACCCTGCATCTCTATGTTCAAAATGGTAACTAATGTGTCAATCAATTTATTCCACATCGAGACAACCAATTGAAACATCAAGTGGTTGTTGGTGGCTGTTGGTGCCCGAGCCGAAAGGGCTCCTGGGGTCGGGGATTACGGGGGATCAGTGATCCCCGCTTACCCACTGATTCCCGTTTGCTTATAAATAACCTTATACCGACTTAGCACAGAGGCTTGGCATATGTTAGTTACCGTACTTAACTAGTGCTTATGTTGTATGCATGCGGTCATCCTTGGCCGGAATACCGAATTGAGTTTAGCGGTGAGCACCAATGAGATAGGGAGATTCTCACGATTTACCCTTGAAAAGATTATAGTCAATTATGGAGGCTCTTTGAACTCATAGCCTCCATTTTCAGTACTGTTCTTAGTATGTTGTACGTAGTCACAGATTCATTAATGATCTTTTGCGCAGTAGCGTACATTAAATATTATTGCCTAGCAACCTATCATTTGAATATGACCTAAACGGTGCAAGAAAGGAAAGAAAATAGCAAGCAGAACTGTCAGAACATAGGTAACAGGAAGAAAGCAAAATAGACCGACAAGGAAAGGCCAGGAATAGGAATCCCATTCTACCCTTGAACCTGCCTCTCCCCGGAAGACATCATTCCAAGGGAAAACATAATTTCCCCTTGCTCAGCGTATTACCTATCTTCTTCTTCCCCAACCCTTCCTCAAAGGTCTTCCCATAGTATGCCAGGCTTGGACCACATACCCAGCCGCTCCCTCTGGCGTCCGCTGCACAAAGAGCACCCCCATCGAGATATAGAATACACCGACAATACCAGTAAGAGCTCCCTGGTACCCCAGCATTCTTTTGCCACGGGATATATACAAGGAATCACCAAGATCTCTTTGCTCCCCAGATGAAGAAGTGTCAAGCAACGCATTCATGCCCTGTAGAGTACCGAGAACGGTCACTAGAGCGAGGGCAAGCGAGAAGGCACTGAAAGTGATTGCGATCACTAACATTGCCTTGTACGACTTCCTCTTGGATGTGCCCGTACGAGCAACGAGGAGCATAATTCCCGAGATGAAAAATAGGAGGGCATGAACGAGAGGAGGCTCACAGAAGAAGACATCATTTTGGAGGTGTTTGAATTGTGGGAGGGTGGTGTTCAGAAAAGTTTGAACGTCGGATTGAGCACCAGAGACTTCGTGGTCTAGGTGCTCCCAAAGATCTTCGCTTAGGTCGTCCAGATCCTTTCGGCGCATGTTCGAGACACAGTTGGTGAATGTTTGTGCGGAGGAATTGCCATCGGAAGAGGAGACGGCAGCTGCATCGGTGACTGATAGACATCCTCCTACATACACTTAGCTAGGACGGCTCTTTATTAACGAAGAAATTTGGCTTTTTGTCCACTCACCAAAGTAGCCCACCCGAAGTGAGATATCGTAGGTCGCGTTTGTTGAGAGCTCAGCGAGGTAGGTGTTGTTGTAATCTGCCATTGTCCAGGCGCAGCTCGTCAGAATATAAACTGAATGCTGTTAGAAAACACACTGTATCACGCATTTTGTCCAAACTTACGACCGAGACTGATTGCCAGCAGATAGGAGACAACCGCTAGGAACACGAGTGCACATATGGGTTTTTTTCCTCTTCGGTTACCCCCTACTATAACCCATGGACCATTAGTATTATTCTCAAGATGTTGCAGTCGCTAAGGGAAAAGTCAAATTTCTTACTTGGTTTCTCAATAACCACCGTCTGTGGAAGAGGCGCATAATTCGGTGCATACTGAGTGTTCGCGGGATAAGGATTATAAGGAGCGGCAAGGTGAACTGCACTGGTAGACGAAGTTGGCTTTTTCTTGCCAGTGGACTTCTTTCCCGTCTTCTTTACCCCAGTTTTCTTCACCCCAGTCTTGGCCTTCTTTCGTGGAAGTGTTGAGGAGCTGGAGTTCTCCATGGTGCACAGTAGGTAATGGCATGGAATAACTTCAGAGCCTGCCTGTGGATACGTCTTCCAGGCTCTCATATACCTTTTATATACCCCGGTTAAACCAGGGAAGTCGGCCTATTGGCTGAATAGTAAGATGTATGACTGGTGGGAAGTAGGTTCTCCCCGAAAGTCTAGCCCTCGTATACAGACTTGGCAGAAACGTGTATCAAATGGGGGCCAAGCGCCATAGCCCTAACAAATTAATATCAAGCAGTAGCCTAGCCTCCTAGCTCGTGTCTTCGAAAAAGGAAATATCGAAAGCCAAGACTCTCAAGCGGGCAAAAAGAGGGGTGGGCTGTGTTCAGCCTCAACACATGCAATTTAGACCTGTAAGTTGTAGGCCCGACTAGGCTTCCTACATGTCTACTTTTGGTTGATTTAGCCTTGGCAACCGGAGGCTACTAGCATATTTCGGATGAAGTAGCTCAATATACAGTTTTGGTCTATTGACGTGGTTTGCTCCTACGTATCGGTACACTGTGTATTATGAACATGGGGTAAATATAGCTAAACGCACCAACAAGAATGTGTAAGTTTTAACTCGCAGGCTCTTAGGTGAGGAGGGTGGTATACTGATCTCGCCTATAGAGTTTGAACGAGTATTGCGCAGCTCTTGGTCGTCGTGGCGAGAAGGTCGAGTTGATGGCGGGTTGCAGTCACCTCTCCATGGCAAGTTTCCAAAGCAGGGAAGATGAGAACTACAAGACAATTATCTCTGCCATTAAGAAGATCCGAAAGTTGGCACTGAAAGATACAGCACCCACTTCATCTGGACTGCACGAAACGGCTCAAGAAATTCAGAACCTCCAGGTCATTCAGTCATCCCAGGCCACGACTATACATGCCGTCCAGAATACGGTCTTGAACCAACAGGATTTCAGCTTGCAGAATGCAGTTACGGCCACTCACAATACATCTGGTGCTCGTGAATTAAGCTATGGCTCATCGCAAGGTACCATGATAGCGCTTAATCAGTCTAGACCGACGTATGGCAACATCCAGGATCCGTCAAGGGCCTATTCCGCCACTCCATAATTCTCACAATTTGACGCGAATATGATGAAGATCCGCAGGCGCCCTGTTGGACTGTCCCCTGTCAATCAAATATCCAATTCAGCTGGTCACGAAACCCAGCCTAACATACCATCACAAAGACTTCAATTTGCATCGGGGCAATCGGGACAGCAAACACAGTACCTCGCCAACATTGCACCAACCACTGTGCTAGAACCGAAATCTTCCACAAAGTCAGGCAAGAAGCCCAAAACCCCACCAGAGGCCCTCCACATCCCGCAAAACTACCATTGAACCCCGGAGATGCGGCACCCAGACCAGCAGTCGTCCGCCAACTTATCGGTAACGAGGGCATGCTCTCCACTTCTAGCAATATTCACAGAACAAACCAGCAAATGCATTATACAACCATAAATAGCATGGCAATCGGTTCATCCCAACACATCGCTCCGCAGCCTAGTTCAGGGACATACAACTACCCTCCAGTCCCGCATCCATTCCCTACCAATCATCCTACGACCCTTACAGCTGGGGCAATGCCTGTTCAACTGACATCCCCACAGAAAGTGACAAAGCCGCCGAAGGCATCCTCAGGCGAGCAACGCCCCAAACCTGCAAAGCTACCAGGGACGAACCCGATGCCGCAACAGACCCGCCCCAATAAGGTTAATTCAGGACTTAGAGGACTTCCGATCCCGACTACCACAGGTGGAACCATACCCAAAGTCGCTCCAATGCAGGCTCCCCCCACCGCACAGCAAGGCCTGCGGGAACTGCAGCTACAGCCTAGCTATACTCCACCCCCCAAGAAGCCCGGGTTTTCAAGAGGATTTTCTCGTCTAGCAAGCTATCGGAACCTGCCCCTGCCACAGGAGGCCCTGGAGTATACTCGGGACCACAAATTGGTCCACACCAGCCGTTGAAGCCGTCCAAGCCATCCAAACCTCCGTCCGAGCCAACCAGTTTGGGAGGCCCTGGAGTATACTCGGGACCACAAGTCGGTCCACACCAGCCATTGAAGCCGCCGAAGCAGTTGAAACCGTTGAAGCCGTTGAAACCCTTGAAGCCATCTAAGCCTTCATCCAAACCTCCGTCCGGGCCGACCAGCTGGGGAGGCCCGGGAGTACACTCGGGATCACGAGGCCTTCCGCAACAGCCGTACAAGCCGTATAAGCCGTCCAAGCCTCCGTCCATGCCGACCAGCTTAGGGGGACCTGGAGTACACTCGGGATCACGAGGTGGTCCATACCAGCCGTACAATCCTCTATCACATACGCACTTGTCACCGTATGGCCCGCCGAGACCGGGACAAGGCCCATTAATACATGGTCACAATCCTAATGACCACTTCGGGCCAGGGCAGCATCAAATTTGGGGCCACGGTGATGGCTTTTATTTTGCACTAGGTCAAACTTCTAGTCACATTACTAGTAATGATCCAATCGAGCCCACAGGTTTAGTCGAGCATCCAGCCGAGCATCCAGCCGAGCCTCCAGTTGAGCCCACAGGCCCAGTTGAGCCTACCGGTCCAGTTAAGCCTCCAGTTGATCATACAGGTCCAGTCGAGCATACGGGTCCAGTCGAGCCTATAGGCCCAATCAAGCCTTCGGGTCCAGTTGAGCTGGTAAATCCAGCTAGGCCAAGAGGTCTAGTTGATCCTACACCTTCAGTCGAGCCTATAGGTCCAATCAAGCCAATAGGTCCAGTCCAACATACAGGTCCGGCTGAGCCTATAGGACGAGGTTTTACTCATGATGAGAGTCATGGCCAGGCCCGGAAGCTTGATCACAGTGACGATCAGGCTCGCCAGTCCCAGAATCAAAGCAATCGAAGTCGAAATATAGCCGCTGGCCTTGCAGGTTTAGCTATAGGTGCGGGCGGTGCAGCTCTTATGATGGCTTCCATGAGCCAAGGCAAAGAAAATGACGAAAAAAACGTTAACGACGACAACAACTACGGAGGAGATGACGACAGTGATGAAGATGATAGTGATAGTCAAGGAGAAGGGGGAGGTGACAGTGACAGTGACAGTGACAGTGGTGATGATGATAGTGATGGTCAGGAAGCAGTGGGAGGTTATGGTGACAGTGAAGAGGGAGATGGTGACAGTGATGAAGAGGATAGTGAAGAGGGAGGTGGTGACAGCTATGAAGATGGAGGTGATGGCAGTGATGAGGATAGTGAAGAGGGAGGTGCTTACAGTGCTGAAGATGGAGGTGACTACAGTGATGAAGAGGCAGATGGCGGATGGTAGTGATGAAGATGGAACGTAGCCTTAGTTTGATATGTCCTTGCATCTATCTGTATGTCGATGTTCATATCTGTACTCCGTATTGACAATCTTCACTTAATGCGCTCATGCAACCCTAAAACCCCCAGACAATTATGTATTCCCATCCTTGTTTACATTCTATAAAATTCTATAAATCCTTTTGTCCAAAATAATATACAGTTATATACACAGTGCCAATCCGGCCCTATTTGATCTTCAAGCCAGTAGGGTTATTAGCCCCATTACATAGCTGGGCCTGGGTCAATGTCCCACCTAGAGCTCGGCTGAAGGAGAAAGCAGGGAGCTTATCCGGAAGCTTCTCATACTTGATCGCGATATCCAACAGGGTTTCTGCGGAAAGAATGCGGAGTCGAACACCGCTCAAATCATAGTCCAAGTTCTCCTGGTAGCTGAAAGCTGGGTCTGAAGTTGAACCATCCGGCAAGGGCATCGGCCCATAGCCAGGCTTGAGTCGTCTTTCGGCAAAGTTCGCAAGGCTTGGAATATCCCGCACATGACTATTGATAGTCTCATTCGGGAAAAGTGTTGTGAGGAGTTCGGCAACCGGCATCTTGTTGGGCACAAATGCTATCAGTGCATAATACCGGTCGAGGACTGGTTGTACCATTGCGCTCGGTAGGTCAAAGACCTTCTTCAGAACGGGCGGGTTAGGGTCCGCTTCGAAATATATGACTCCGCGCCCGCTCCCACGAGGATAAATCTCCTCTGGGTCGATGTACAGGGGTTCAAATGGTCGTCGGTCATGTACCAGGCCGCCATTTTTGGGGGCTTCAACCGAGCGGAAGCGGAGATCATCGATTGTGAAATTATGTTTTTCCCATATCGTCCAGTGAGAAGTTGAGATCAAAGTAGTATAACTTGATTTGAGAGATATTATCTGATCTTCCAGAGCCTTCAGACTCTCAACACTCTCCTTAGGATCCGCAGCCGCACGTGCAAATGACCGGCCCAATTCGTCAAGCTTAATGATTATGTCGACAAGCTTTTCGCGAAACTGATGGGCTGAATTTTCCCTAGTGAGGTGCGTGAATGCTATTCCTCGCCGTCGAATGATGGCTTTGATATTGGGGTCTGTGGTCTCGTGGCTCGAAGAGAGACCCAAATCGTCTGCTGCCGCGATGTCCGCCAAGAGCCTCTGGTGAACATCACTAAGCACTCGCGGCTGACTTGGTATTTCTATTTTGCCGCGGTGAACAACTTCTGGCACCAGCTTTAACGGAGGAAGCTCTCTGTCGGGTGGAGTGATAATATTATTCGCCGCAGCTCTTTCAGCCACGAGCTTCCTGTTGTCATTTAAGTAATCCCAGCCTTGCCATCGAAGGGAGTTTTCAGTTTCGGCTGGACTGGCAACCTCTATGTTGTGCAAGCCTATGGTCTCCGCGAATACGCCAGTTCGTGTGCGCTCTGTAGTGGACCGAGGTAGCATATTCGAGACTCCATTGAAGGGCAATGAGGCAATGACTCGCACGGCCCCGTACAAATTCAACCCATTCTGTTCTAAGCAGCTTTTCATGAAGCTGAGAAACCAGCGGTTGGGTTTGAAATGATCCGTTGGAGAGACAGCATCAGGCAGATTAGCCATGATGAGAAGTGTATCGTTCCTTGGTATAATCGCAGAGCCTTCTCGGTTTCCAGGCCCTTGTTCTGGAAGATGAGTTGCAAAGAATTCAGACCAATCAGCTTTCCCATATATGCGATCATCGACGAGCTTATAACACGGCTTGCTCTCAGCGAGGCGTGCGAGAAGGCCGTGAAAGGCAAGATTTGGTTCAACAAGCACATGACGGCGTGGTTTAATAATTTCATTCAGTCTAGATGAGCAGAAACCACCCCCAGGCCAAAGGTCCAGAATGTCTACCGGCGGGTTTCGACGAAGGTAGGGAGATACGCGCTCGAAAACATGGTCTGCAAAGTTCAAGGCGTATAAGCATATTTGTACCCATTGTGTATAAGAGCTGAGATTCAAGACTTGCCTAGTAGCCCTGGACTCACGTATTGCGGTTGATCCTTGGCTTTCCCACGTTGGAGGCGGATCGCCGAGTAAAGCGTCTCCGTGACCGGAAAACGCGCCAGCGGCATTCGCTCTTTCCTGATTCGCCTCATTATGAAGATCTGGCAAATGCCAAGGTGATTCTTGCGTATGGCATTAATGGAAGGAGAGTACTAATTGAAGAGAGGAATGTGAGGGAATCCCTCGAAATTTTTTTGACGTTGAAGAGCGGAGAGCGGAGAGACCAAGCTTCCCGCTCTCTCATCCCACCTCTTCTCCCCTCACCAGGTTTATCTTCCAGGTCGCCTAGATGCAGCTCCCACAATTGCCGCTGGTCTTTCCAGGTTTCGGAGATTCCTATCATCGCACTATGCTCTTTGAGGCTTGATTTAGGCTCAACTTCATCATCTTGGCTTTCTAATCCTCGTCTACCCTTGCCTTAGCGCACCTTTTTTGTTATGGCTTCCAATGCGATAGGAGCCACTGGAGGTACTGCCCCTCAAAGTGTTGAGCATATTACGCGGATAGCACAGAACTATGAGTACAACTCTTCAGTTCCTTTGCGGTACTGGCTGAGGACCGCCGCGACACTTTTACGTGAGGTTGGTTATACCTGTTGCCTGCACGTGGATATCGACTACTGCAGACTTGTTGACTTTTCTTCATTTGTTAGGCTCACATTTATGAACGCGAAGGACACGATGAGCAAGCCTATCTCATTCTATTTCGACACGCTCAGTTGATCCTGGTCCATCTTTCCAAGCACCCCGATGTCAAAAAGAATGAGGAAGATCGCAAGGCATTGGTGGCAGCCGAGAAAGAGGTTGAGAAAAACCTTAGCAAGCTGGAGATTCTGCGGCCGCGTATCAATAAGCGCTATGAACGTTACACTCAGCTGATGCGGGAGCGCGAATCTCGCCAACAGCCCTCACGAGCCAAAACCATCCCCGAACCACGAGAACAAGTTCCGGATCCTGCTCTCGCCGGCGTGGCAGAGCCTTTGGAAGCTGGAGAGAATCGAGATCTCGCCGTGCAGTTAGCCCAATCAGAGCTCAATCGCCGAGCCACCATCAGAAACTCAAAGGGTCTTTCTAGGCCATCTGCCGAGGAGATTGAAACACGTCGCGCAGCTGGCATATGGAGGGAGTGGGACCATTCTATGAAATCGGACTCTCGCGCAGGTGATCGCGACCACACAAATCAACCTTATAGCCAACACCCCGAAGAGTCCGAGGTTCCTTCATCAGCTGCTTCTGCGTACAAGTATCCAACTGTGCCCCGTCAAAAGCCCCTGGAACCCACTGTGTCTCCAGGCCAAATCGCCATACTCGATAAGAACGCCGAACGCTTTGCGCCCCCGATATTGCCTCCAAAGGAACACCTTGAGCCTAGCCGGGCATCTATTATCGATGATTCTGCAACGGCTGTAGTGCCATCGCGACCGGCAAAGGTATTGCCAGGCCCGGTGCTGCCTGAGAAGATCCAACCTTCTGAACAAACCACCGCCACGCGTTCAGATCTCGATCCCTCAAGTTACACCTTCAAACCCTCCGCCTATCTCGAAAATGGCACCCCCTTGCGCTCGGTATTCTTACCAGCGAACCTCCGATCCCGCTTTTTATCTATGGCTGCTTTTAACACCCGCGCCAACCTTGAGACGTGCGGTATCCTGTGTGGTACTCTTGTTTCCAACGCGCTCTTCATATCTAAACTGGTAATTCCCGAGCAGACATCGACGTCAGACACCTGCGAGACGGTTAATGAATCCGCCCTCTTCGATTACTGTGACTCCGAGGATTTGATGACACTCGGCTGGATCCACACACATCCGTCACAGACCTGTTTCATGAGCTCCCGTGATCTACACACACACTGCGGTTACCAAGTGATGCTCCCCGAGAGCATTGCCATCGTGTGCGCTCCGAGCAAAACCCCCGATTGGGGCGTATTCCGACTGACTGATCCCCCGGGTCTAAAAACGGTCCTGAACTGCAACCAGACCGGTCTGTTCCATCCACATGCCGAGGAGAATATCTACACCGGGGCATTGCGACCAGGACATGTCTTCGAAGTCAGTGGATTAGAATTTGAGACGGTGGATCTCCGTCCGGATGCCTTAAAGAATTAATAGCGTTGCGCTTGAATTGTTCAATACACTGAGATACCATCATCGTCGCATTGATCTGGCTTTTTTCGTGTGACATTTTATATCTTCTAGAAGGGGAGTCTCCAATTGAAATATTTTCTTTCTAGTTCATATTAAAGACATGAGCATGTAGATAGTAGGTTCTGCTCAGATATATAGTCAAGTTCAACCTTATTTGACGACATTTATGATTTCAGCGACATTTGGAGTGTATCTAGATACTATTTAGCAAGACAATTGCTACTTATATATGTATGATCTCATCCCAATAGTTAGAGTCAAAACTTCATTGTTCTCTGTAATCATGCCACGCCTTACAAGGATGGCCAGGTGTGACATCTTAGATTTCCCCACATGATAAGTCGATAACCATCTCAACTTCCCCTCCGCATTCGTACCTCTACCATCAGCTTAACATCCTTCGTCAATTGATTTTGAATTGCACGAATGTCGTCCCCATCACAAGAAAATATCCCCTCCGACACCCCCACCTCCTCCACCTCCACCCCGGGATCACCATCCCAGACACCCACAGAAAAACCACCCTACCAATCCGCTGCCTCCTACTTGTCCTACCCAGTCAGCCACGTCGTCTCAGGAATCTATCGCCGCATAGCAGACCCAGAGACAACCAAAGAAATGCCCTCCGTCATGCCATGGTCGCGGTCCCCCTCATCCGAAGCGTTCACACCGCGCCGAACAGCCTCACCCTTCCAACCCCCACCACTCACACCCATCACCCTCGGGATCCCCACAGGGGCCGACTCGCTCCAGCAGCAACTCCTGACACGCCCACTAGCAGAAGAAATCCGACTGCTAGTGCCGCCCCGCCTGCAGCTCGCCGAAACCTGGCGTCTAGCCTACAGCCTGAACCGCGACGGCGCCTCCCTCTCCACCCTCTACGAGAACTGCGCCGAGTTCTCGCACCGCAGCCCGCGGGCGGGCTACGTCCTCGTGATCCGCGACTCTTCCCCCTATAGCTCCGTCTTCGGCGCCTACATGACGGACGCCCCACACCCAAACTCGCAGTTCTTCGGCACAGGCGAGTGCTTCCTCTGGCGGGCTAGCGTGCTCCCGCCCCCGGCAAGCTTCCCCCTTGCCCTACCAGGCGAAGGACCCCAGTCTGAGGAAGCCCTCGAGCGCGCTGGCCTGCCCCCTCCCCCCTCGGCCGATACCACTACCGCCGGCCGCTGGAGCACCCTGCGTAACGACAAGTCGAAACCCCCGCGGGCGGAATCACCGGCTCATAATCTCAATATGAATATTAAAACTAATCTCGCCGCTGCGAGTGGCGGAGTCCTGGCGCCTCCGTCGCCTTCCTCGATCCATAGCCCTTCGCGGAGCGGTGCGAGTACCCCCGAACGCATTCGCTTCAAGGCTTTCCCGTACAGCGGGGTTAATGATTACATGATTTTCTGTGAGACTGGATTTCTCAGTCTAGGAGGCGGGTAAGTGGTTGATGTTGCTAGAAGGATATTGATATTGTTCTTGGCTAATATGACGTAGTGACGGCCACTACGGACTGTGGCTTGACAGCAGTCTCGAAAAAGGTGTGAGTTCACCCTGCCAGACTTTTGGTAACGAGCCTCTCTCCGATGAAGGCATCAAGTTCGATGTACTTGGAGTGGAGGTGTGGTATGTCGGTTCTTGAACAACCGCATATGTACAGCCTGACACCTTAAACTTGATGTATAAAGAATGCCTGTGTCGGGGAGGATATACGTATGGAAGGGATATTTATTTTAATATAGACAGGGCCGACAGGAGCGGACTGTGGCATCCATCGAGATTGAAGACCCGGATCACGAAAAGTAGTTCATCTTAATGGCCTTTCAAATACCCAGACGGCGATGTGGTGCTGGCCTCCCTGCATTGTTGATTCTGCTATTGTCATTTGCCTTAATCTAGTGTTGCTTGTTTTGCCTAATAATTTATGTCTTGAACTTTGGATAATTCACACAAACAGCTTTGCTTTTTTGTTATCATCAAGCTAGATCTATTTTTTGGATGGTTTCACCTTTATATGGCAATTCCTTTACAATTCCTTCACAATCCCGTCACTTGCCACTCAATGTTAGTTTAGTTACGCGTTAGTTCGGTTACGCGTTAAAAAGCACTACTCAGATCGAAAGTGAGGAATTGAAAAGTAACGATTTCTATTGCTGATTCAGGAACTCTGTTTGAAATTCCTGAACCAGGTCAGGAAGGCTGCTTTGAACATGGTCCACAAGAAGACTGCTGAGACGACGCCGCAGGTTGCCAGCCCCCACGGATCGCCGTGCCAGCGTCTTCCAATCTCCTCGGTCGAAGAACTCCTTCTCTTTCTCCTCCCTCTCCTCATCCAGCAAATGGCGTGTCTCGGAAGACTTAGTACACACCAAGTGCAACCCCAGTGGCACTTCGGATGCCGATCTTTTGATGGCATTCAGCCATAACGCTTCCTCCTCTGGCTCCTCGAGTGTGTCAAGATGGGTGATGATTCCCAAGATCCGTTTCCGGTTAGGATCATACTTGTCAGCAAAGTCGATTAACTTTTGAGGGCAGATGTCGATTTTGGCGGAGACCACAGGGAGGATGATGCAACGTTGATTCAGCACGTAGTTTTCAATCGTCCGACGACCAGGAGTCTTCTCTCGACCTCCATTGTTGATGCCATCTGCGAAGAAGAGCCTGGGCATGTCGATGAGAGTCAGGTCAGGTTTATCGGGACCAGAGACCTCAACTCTCATGATATCGTCACTGAATCCATCCTCGAGGGAGAATTTAACGAGTTGCGTTGCTTGCTCAATCAGCGCGACTGACTGCTCAGTGTTGTCGTGAACAGGGGGATCAAATGATTCTAGGTGCCAGAGGTCGCTTTCGTTTATTCTCGTTGGACCAGGCCGGATGCTCACTTTGAAGCGAGGTGTTGGGTCATGGCGCAGTATGATCTCAGTAACGAAGCCAGTGTAAAAGTCATTCCTCGATGGAAACCTCACGCCGGAAATTGATTCGATAACAGAGCGTTTGGCGTTGGACTTGGAACCACAGATAATCATCTGTGGCAAATGGACATATTTACTAATGCTGATGGTACGGAGGTCGTCGACGATGTTAAGGATACTGCCTTCTTCTGTGTATGACTGAGGCGGACCTTCATCTGGCTTGGCCGGATTGGACATGGTAAGGTTTGGATGTAATAGGTGTGAGGAATGAAGATGGAACGAGCCGTATGTATTTGATGGCAAGAAGGATGATGAAGATATGAAGATAAAAGATGGGAAGAAGAAGAAAAAAAGAAGAAAGGAAGGGAAGAAGAGTCCATCTTATATATTGTCCTTATGCGTTTAACGTTAACAGCGCGCGATGCGGCGACTCATGCGACTCATAGATGCGACTCACAGATGCGACTCATAGATGATTACCGCGACGATGTGATGCGATGGACGGTCATGCGCCTGGACATGCCCTACTCCCGCGTTTTCTTTCACACTTCTGGTTAATGCTATTAGTCGTTTGTTCCTTGCTCTACTCAAAGGTATGTAGAGACAACAATGCTCACGTTTCTTTATCCCCGAATGGTAATTAGGGCATTCCGGACTTTATGAGAGAGCAAAATGTATTGGACGATATGCTAACTTTAGGGACTTCAAGAATAATTGCTGCTTAGTATCTCAGACCTATGTTTGATTTGCATTTCTTTGTAGACTAGGACTATAAGGACTTCGGGTGCTTCTTAACAGCTTCAGGTGCTCGCCGCCTTCTCCAGTAAACCCCGATCAAAGTAACAGTTCAGTTGCCAGATTTGTAGGCCATCCGTGCCGCATCCCTCCTCGGATTTGCCAATCTCATAAACAAAGGCTTGGGGCAGAGGTACTATTCCCTTTCTACCTTTGAGATGCAAGTTGTTCGTGGTCTCCACAATCACGGTATGTTTGCCAGACGTCTCATCGCTCAAAACGACGATTGAAATCACGTCATGCGCACAACGCTCAAACTGTCCGTAGAGATCGATGTAGTAATCCCAGATCTCTTTGGCCCCATGGATGATAGACCGATCAGTGTTCACCAGGGTCGCATTGGAGGCGTAATATTTGGTTGGGGGTGTGGTCGTCTTAGCAATGCTGAAGTCCACCGCATATTTAGTGTACCATGAGAGGACGGGATTGGTTGAAAATATTGAGGGTGGGTTGGCGAGATTCAAAGGCCCTTTGACCACGGTAGTAGTGACGCTCATGGTTAAGAATATACCCAATCGAAGTATAGGCTGTGGTCAATGGAAAGAAATTGTAAGAGCAAGGGTAGTTCAAATTATTAGTTTCCGAAAGGAATATTGTGATATCAAAGCTGTTATAACCCTCGGGTCGTCGTCGGGATGATACCGAGGAACATCCGACCTCGGGACTCGGGAATCTCGGGAATCCCGACTCGGGATGACGTAATCCATATAGATTCAACACTGACGGAAAAACGGTGGTAAGGCGAATGTATATGTGGCAGAAAAATCTCAATAAATTCTCTAACTCTCTAAAAATGACAATAGTCCTAAAACATGACAATTTTGTGGACAACTTAGTAATCAAAACAAACAAAACAAAATGAAAGGATGTTTTTCGGGCGAAAAACCACCTGAGTTGGTTTTTCTGCAGAAATACCAGCCTGGTCAGTCACGTGACCCAACTGTATCAGGAATGAAAAATAACAGTATTCATCCTAGATTCTGACAAACACACCTGGAGCATGAAGGCAGAATTGAATTGTAATCAGGGGAAAAAGATTGGATTAAATTACATTTATATCAGCTATGTACCATGAATATCTTCGTAGCTTTCAAGGAGCTTTGACCTCGACAAGCAGTTTTCCTGCGAGATGTTTAGTATAAATTCATTAGTGTGCAGAAATCAAAGCTTACCTGTGTTTACCCCCTTATACAGTTGCATCAAGGCAGTTTCGGCTTGGGATAAACCGCCATGCACAATCGTTTCCCTCCGTTGCAGCCGACCCTCCGCAAGCCACTGGCTGAGCTTCCGTCTGATTTCGAGTTTCTTATCCATGTGATCGAAGACAATGAAGCCTTCCATGCGAATCCGCATCCTCCATATCATCATGTAGTTCTTTGGTCCTTTAACCTCCTGTTCATTGTATTGACTGACTCCACCGCACATGACGAATCGAGCGTTTTTGTTGGCACAAAGTAGAGCTAAGTCGAGAACTTCTCCTCCGACATTGTCATAAAAGAGGTCGATCTTTCCTTGCATCAAACTCTTGAACTTTTCGGCGAAATCCTCGCTCTTGTAGTTCAGCGCCCCGTCAAACTTGAGGTCCTCAACTAACCAACGACACTTCTCATCCGAACCTGCGATTCCATACACAGTGGCACCGTGGATCTTTGCAATCTGTCCAGCGATAGACCCAGTCGCTCCTGCTGCTCCAGAGACAACCACAAAGTCCCCAGGCTTGACATGGCCAACCTCGACCATGCCCCAGTACGCAGTGATTCCTGTCAAGCCAAGGACGCTGAGGAAATCGGTCAAGTGGCCTCCATCCGCAGGATCAGGCGTAGGCACGGATTCCAAAGAGCTCTCATTGATAATTGCGTGCTCAGTCCAGCCTACCATACCGAGAGCATAGGAGCCAACTGGAAACTTCTCTGACCGCGAGGCAGTTACACGGCCCACAGCGTAGCCACGCATGATTTCGCCAATTGCAACTGGAGGAATGTATGAAGGTCGATCGTCCAACCACCCACGCATCGCAGGATCCAGACTTAGGTAAAGGCTTTCCAAGACAACCTCTCCATCTTCAAGTTCTTCCGAAGTAGGAGTTGTATGCTTTTGTACAGCAAATGTTTCCCCGGGGACAATGTTTGTCTCCGGGCGCTGTTGAAGATGGATTGCGATATGTTCGGAGGACATCTGTAGATAAACTTATTATGAGTATGATGAAAATCAAAGCAAGGCCTGTAAAACCGTACTGTTCAAGTAGTCGCTTATGCGACAAAAATATATTTCAAAGAATTAGAAAGCGATAGCCTAACACCGTTGTACAGAGAGAGTACGAAGTAGACAAGAATAAACTGTTTCTTTGGCCCCTTCGACAGGACATACCGCTCTATCATCGACTACGCGCTACCTCGGGAACATCCCGAGATCCTCGGATTATGCAGCCGCTTTACCCGTACGGAGTAACTATACGGTTGGGGTGTCCCTTTAACAATCCCCTATATATATAAGCTTATATAAGTCATATAATGAATAACTATCTACGTCAGGATACATCTGTTTCGATACGGCATATGATCATCCGGCAGATAGACGTCCTTATAGTTCGGGACCCCCCAAGGATCCCCAGCGATCTAGCAAGAATTAGTCTTGGCATACCATCAATACATTGTGTTCCTCCCAACAAGCCTATTGTAACTTACCCGGTTGACAGGCCTTACACCTGCATAACGTATACCCTTACATACTGGTTTCATGGTCTCTTGGACAGGCAGGGTAGGAGTGCTAATCCTAGAGCGATTGCATGAATCTACTATAAGACCCTAAATCTTACTAAACCCCAAGAAAGACTCTACTAAGAAAATAATATTCTACATAATAGCGAAGCATAGGTTCTCTCTACATTGAGCACGCGCACCGGAACGCATGTTTAACGAACCGCCAGATCCTCCGGGCCGAGAAGCCCACAAAAGAGATTGCTCCCAGGAACCCGCTAGATAATTGATTAATCAATCTATTAATTTACAGTATAGACTGATTCCATCCGAGGAATCCACTGAGGTGAGGATGGGGTGACCTACGATATCAACTCATTGGCAAGCAAGGCTGTCCTTGGAGAGACACGAGTAAGGCGTATATCTAGTCTGCTATTACTTATTGCCTTTTGACTTTGCTTTGACTACGACACAATAGAAGAGTACTTTGAGCGGGAAAATGGGAACTTTGCGAGGGAAGACTCTCGCCCAGACATAGAAGAAACGAATTTTCGATCTCTCACAACACAAAGTCAGGATCTCTCCTCCTTCTTTCTGTCTGCGTCATAGCCTGGGACCACTTCCTTGGAGATTTCGTGAGTGATCGCGGATATTAAAAACCCGAAGAGAAGCATATCTCCACTCTCGAAGATGTTGAGAGGCCCGTGCAAGTGGATATGGAGAAACGCTCTGGGCCTTTTTTCACCGCCATTTATCAGGAACTTCAGGTACTGAGGCGTAGGCTCTGCGAGTATGATCCACATCTCGAAGCCAAACTGACCAGCCAGGACATATCTATAAAGTTAGCATTTGACTGACTCATAGTGAGGAAGGCGCTTACCGGCGCTGCGGTTTCTTAGCCTGCTCGCAGTGAGAAATCCAGGTAACCATTTCCATGCCGATTTGTCTCATCAGAGATCCGAAATGGGATGACCGCAAGTGGTATGGCTTGACCTCAAGTATTACGTACGGAAACTTGAGATCTTCGGGATTCCCTCTAAGCTGGCCATCCGCAAACGCGACAATTTCCGCCTTGCCCTTGCAGAACCTGAACTTAGGCTTGTCTACTATCCATGACAGGGGAGACTTGAGCGATAGGCATATCTCGCTCAAAAGAGAGACAAATGATGCATTCACATTGTCTTCTGATATGCCCCCTTCGGGCTGATCTGCTAGAGTAGGAGAGGTTGGAGACCATTCTTTCACAAGTGCTGAAGTGCCGATAGAGGTGTCGGTCTCATCGGAAATTTCCTTCAAGTGTTTCCTCGTGGTGCTAACGTTTGACCCGAACTCAGCATATCTGTCGTCCAGGTGCAACTTCGCCAACTTACGAGTCACATCCGAAAGGGTTTCGCGGTCGGTAGCGATGGATCGGAGTAGCGGAGACGGGACTTTAGACGTCGATACCATATCCGTGGAAGAATCAGTCTTCTGGCGTTTTCGTGCGCTTTCCGGGGAGGGGCTTCTTTGAGCGCCTCCTCTAGCCTGACTGCGGGTTTGACGACGCGGGCTACCTTCATTGGCCGGCGGAAGAATCCGTAGCTGGGCTTGACGTGTAGATGTAAAAACGCCGAGGAAAGGATTTCCTGATGGCCGTCTCCCGAAAAGCTCGATCTCCTCGACGTATTGGACCCAGTCGCGATATTTAGCCAACTTATTTGTTGTACTGGTCAAGGTTCTCTTGGCGATAGCGAGTATCTTCCCTGTGGCAGTGTGGTTGAAAAACAGATCCCTGAGGTCTGCGTACTTGAAGACGATGTTCAAGGTCATGAAATGGCCAGCTTGAACTTTCGAACCCGAGCCCCAACCAGGGATATCGCTGAATCTCGCCTTGGAAGCGGATTTACCAAAGGGAGCTTTTTGCTCAGCCGCCTCAAAGTATGCCTTTTTCATGGCCTCAAACTCCTTGTCGCCAAGCTCCTTCTTCTTGACATTTTTTTCCTTCAACATGACAGCCACGTCGTAGCCTTCCAGTCGGGGTTGAGAATTTTGATTGTGCCTCTCAGCTCTTCATGTCGCCGATGGGTCGAGGCGAGTCCTGCCTCCTTCATCGCCGTCCTAAACCATTCTATATATCTTGTCAGCTTTCTGATGACATTTCGATCAAGGTCGGATTATTTGGTACCGTTGTCCATTATGGTATAGGAGCCGACTCTTGGCTTCGGCACAGTTCGTGAGGCTGGAGCTTTGACCGGTCTTGAGACGGTTAGAACTTGGTACATCGGACCAAACTGGCACTGAACTTACTGCAGCAGGCAAGGTCGACTTGAAGCGGCAGAGCAAGAGCCTTTCTAAAGCACCCAGGGACGAGAAAGGGTAGGGCACAGGGCAGGGGACAGGGCAGGGAAGAAAGGCTGAACAGTGCGAGCTGGCAGAGCATCCAGCAGCACTCGAAGTCTATGAACGGTTTCGTCAGTAACCTCGATAGCTGTGACAAGGTAGGAAGGCTTACAGACACTTTGTGAAGCTACGGTCGGTCGACGACTCGTGAGAGCAAAACGTATGGGAGGAGCAAGGGTTGGGAGGAAAAGTGAGATGGTTGACAGAGGACATGACTTCGTGGGGGCGTGTCCTGTGACTCGCGCGTTATGTTATCAACTTTAGGAAGGCGCGCGTTATGTTGTCGGCTTTAGGAAGGCGCGCGTTTACCTAGTGTTGATGGAGCGTTGACTAACCGATCACCTCCTCATCCATCCTCTTCTCGTCATCTCCTCTCCTGTTCACAGCCATCGAATGATCCTCGCTTACTTGCCACTCGCTTGCTGCTTGCTGATATCAAACTCACGGCATGTCCCTGCCCAGTGATTCCCCTGCCCTTTCTCGTCCCTGAGTGCTTTCCCCCGTTTCTCCCCCACCTTCGCCTTCGCGCAATGGAGCTCGACACTGCCGCCGAAATGGCCAGAATTGCACTCCCCGCCTTTCGATAAGCCACTTGGTCACGACTGCCCTCCCGAACTGTGGGCCAAGGTGATCACCTGGAGGCCATGCCAACTGACTGTTGGCGATAAGCTCTTCTCGGGCAAATACCACGTTGTGCTCAAATTCCAGCAACCCCGTGTGGCCTTCAAACTCCACAACAAAGCACGAGGCCAAGTGATATTCACGGCCAAGAACTGCTCAATCGAGACCGGCTTTGGGCAAGATGAAGCAGACTTTGTCAATCAGCATCGTGGCCAGTTCGATTTGAAAGGCGGCTTGATCTCGTTCATCAAGATTCGGCCCTCGGCCCCGGCAGCAATGCCTATGGGCGACGAATCGTGCCACTACGACAATGGGACTTTTTCTGCCTCGCAGAAAATTAGTTAGTTAGTTAACTAACTAACTAATTTTCTGCGAGGCAGAAAAAGTCCCATTGTCGTAGTGGCACGGTTCGTCGCCCATAGATTAGAGCGGTGAGCCAAAAAGTCCCATTGTCGTAGTGGCACGATTCGTCGCCCATAAATGCCCTCCAAAGCAACGGATGGGCCTAGCGTTCAAGCTGAGCGCGAGAATTGGCAAGCCCTTAATTCTGTCCATTGGCAAGACTCTGAGACAGTCATCTGGGTGCCTTACGAACAGAAGAGTATTCGAAACGGCCAAAGCGTCTTTGATGGAGTTGAACAGCTAGCAAAGCTAGTCCGCAGAACCGTCGATGGTCAAGAAGAGCCCGTTCCCCGGGCCTGGTGGTTCTACGAACGTGACTACCAGCGTGCGTCCATCAGCGAAATCTTCAATTTAGAGCGAGTCCACAAAGCTCGCCTTCGCAAGGCCAGCTGTAACGACTGGTGGTACGTCGGTGTGACTCAATGCTCAGCAATTTCCCACCCTCTCCGCCTCGACAATGGTGAAATTTGCGATCAGAAACCCAGACATTCCAGACAACACATTACGGGTCCAGGACCTCAATCCCCAGGGTTTCATGATAAACGATGATGATTCATTCAAGGTCGATTTCACTATGTTTATTCGTGGTGAACTTCAGTATATTGATGCCACCCAGGATCTCGCAATCACTGCCTTCGTGTCTCCAAATTTGCTTCCGGCTAACGAGCAATTAAAGGCCCTGGAAGCAGTCAGCCGGACGAAGTGCTTTGGAAATTTGCCAGGGAACAAGCAAAACGGATACTCGTTGAGAAAGATGGTCATTGGTCATGGAAGTGTTGGCCCCCCTGGTACAGGAAAGACCAGAACCGCGAAGCGCATTATCCTGACCCTCGCCTCACTCGGCCTGAAGGTTTTTGTAACGGCAGGATCCAACAAGGGCGTAAATAACCTATTCCATCCCGTGTTCCAAGCCACCAGGAATGATCAAGAACTCCGAGCCTGGTGTGGCCCAATCGTTCGCTTCAGTTTGATACTACCTAACTCTACCCGCAGATTATTTCGCCCGCTCTGCGCGAACAAGCTTCAGGCCTGCCCGACATTAGGTACCTAAGTGCGGCTAGAAAGAACTAGGTCAGCCGATATTGTCATTGATGGGTATTACTCGACACTGCTATGTGCATCAGGCCCCTAGGTAGTAACCAAGAAATCGCTACCTATCAGCGGGTACATGGTTCTATTCTGATAACTAAGACAATTGTAGTTATTAAATTAGCCAGCTGAATGCTATGGGTCCGACAAAAGATGAACCATGCCATCAAATCTCCTCCTTTTCATCTTCTTCTGCTTCTGATCCATTACCGTCGCCTGTGACGTGCCGGGTCTTGCAAGATAGAAGAGTGCATTAAATTCAGAATAACTAAGATAGGGAGAGAAAGGAAGGAAGCAAGTTGCAAAGTGGGAATGAGCCAGTTCTTATAGCTGAGTCCTGACCGCTTTGTAAACGATGCAAACAACCAACTCTCGCTTAGCAATAGCAAACAAGCAAAAAAACAAACAAGCAAAGCAAAGCAAACGTTGGATCGTAACATCGCCGAGGGGACATCACCTTCCCCTTAATCAGTCACACCTTGGACAAGTAGCCAATCATCATCAGCGAGCTCCGTGTCTGGGTGATCATGTGTTGGAAGATCCAAGATTACCGCAGTGTATTCCTTCGTGGTTGCCACTGGGATGGGCCATGACCATTTAGCAAGCATATTTAGCATGTCATAAAGCTTGCCCTTGTCGATAGTATCAATGTATGGCGTGTCCTCGGGCGGTATTACGGCGTATTCCTTGAAATCCAAAATGCGGGTGAACTGAACATGGAGTTGCCCATCAAAATATCCAGCTAGGACCCGAGAGTGTCCGTACTCGTCGAAAATGATAAGCAGTGTCTGCATCAGGTATGAGTACTATGAGGCACCAAAGATGTTCCTGACGAAGTAGCTAGCTTACCGGAAACATGTCTTCTCGGCGTGGTTGTTCCTCGCGGATTGATAGGTACTCTTGCCACATAGAATCCAACATAGTACATGCTAGGGCTGCGACTTCATCTCTCGAGGGGCGCGAATTATCGCCACATGTACCGACATCAGCCATAGCCCATATATAAGTCTGTTTGTCTGGTGTACCGAGTTTTTTTGGCCAATAAGGCCGTAGGCTAAAGGGTACCATTTTCAAAGCTTCGAACTTTTCACCTATACAAGAGCCGTCACGAGCAACACATACCCTGTGGAAGGTCTCCCTGAAGAAGAGTAAAGTCAGGAGAGTAGCACACATTTGCGCATAAAGGTAGAAACTTACTCATCGCTACTCCAGCCGTAGTTATTGGGTATCCCGTTCTCCAAATCTCCAAATTTATCTTGGAGGTCCTCGCTTCCCTCGAATGAAAAGGCATTGAAATCGAGCGACAGGCATTCCGGGAAAATATCAAGGCTACCGGCACTACGATTATTATCTCTCTTCAAATAGGATAACATCTCCTCTGCACCTCCAAACATATCAGGGTAGAAATCATTTGCCTCCAAAACTTCGGGAAAATCGGTCTTTGGAAGGAAGCAAGGAATAGACGAGGGTGAAACGTCGCCGGTCTCGATATCTAGATGATGAAACTGGATCCGAAGGTCTAATAGTTCCTCATCAGAGATGACTGGATTGTAGTCAGGTGAGTAGAAATACAACGATTTCGGGTCCGAAGGAACAGGACGTAGGGCTCGGAGAATAACCCAAATCTCATTGCCGGCAAGCGCAGGACGCCCCTGGCCGGTGTCTAGCTTAGGACGTCCCTGATCGGTGTCCAAGTTGAAAAAATGATCCAGGTCATATGAACCAGTTTCCATGTTGATGATAAGCGTTAGTTTGTATGAGAGTGTAGTAGAAAGACACAAAGAATGGGTGACGAGGCTGTGCGGGTAAGTAGAAGAACACCAATCGGCGTGAAAACGCTGCTAAAAAAAGGTGAGTCCTTGAAAACTAAATCCCATCTAGATTCTACGTCAGAATGGGATACTAATCCTAATTCGAACATTCATGCTGCTGAATTCGGTAAAGTAGGTCACTGATCATCACGTGATGACTCTGAGCAACTCAGTGAGTCTGGGCCCGGACTGATATTTACTCGAGCCTGACTCTAAGCGCCCTCATAAAAGCGGCAGCTATGATAGGAAAGCCCCACCTGACAGAGATGATCTTTACTTTTCGCGAGCTCTGATTCGGGGTTTGGATATACTAGTGAGCGCATACTATTTGCAGTTGACAGGAATTCGGTTGGGATTCGGATGCAGAGGTTCTTTGTGAGGTCATTCTGATACAGAGCTGTCTGCAGTGCCCCTGGATTGTATAAGAGATTTGGTACCTTTCTATAGACATACACTTCTCTTTGATCATTTCATTTCGGGGTGTCTCATCACCTACTTTCATATAGTAAACATATATTTCTCTCTGATCTCCATATCGCCAAAATGGAGCAACACGACTTACTATTCATTGTCGATGCGTCAAGCCATGAAAACTGCTATCTACAATCGCTGAACATCTCTCTCCCTCAAATAATTTCGATTTCCGATCAAAAGGGCTACTTTTCACGAATCGGGGTTCTCATATACCGCGACTACGAATACAATAGGGTCACCGAATGGTCAGGATGGTGGAGTCAAGGGCAACATGAACCTTCGCAAGAGCAACAACCCGACCTAATCGCTTTCGTTAAAAGATTCTACATAACTAGGGAACGCAAGTGCCATACGGCCGTCAAGACAGCTCTTGCAAAAGCCTGCGAAATTATGCGCGCGAATGCGAAAACACTGATATTTCTTTACGCTGAGAGACGCCCTGATCTACATCAGTATCCCACGTCAATGGAGAAAACTGCCCTGCTGGCCCCGGGATCCTACTCCAAATATGGTCCCGCATGTGTGGATTGGGTGTCAGCATGTAATACCCTTCGAGATGGGCCGAAACAAGCACAGGTCTTTTCTATCCTTAATGAACTTGTGACGGAAGGGAATGCTGCCTGGTACACCTATCTGTCTACCAGGACAGATGGGACTTGTGTGCAAGTGAAAAGTTACTTTCCGAAGGACATTGCTAAGGTGACTATTAATCTGCTTCTAGCATGGATGGGAGTGGAGAAAGCTCCTTTCTCCATCGACGAAGACCAAGAAGAGGATTTTTCTGCAGAGCTGTTACGCTATATCTCGGTCAGCGAAATTGAGTGTCTTGACAATGAAAAGGGTATGAGCACCCATCCATATTTCTGGGCCATTGTAAGGTGGATAGATCGCAATGAGAACATCACCAGGGTGAAGTTGACTGGGAATGTCATGAAAGAATGTGTTCCCAGAAAGACAGCCCCTATGCCAGACTTTGCTGAAGAGATCGCATCTCTCATCAACAGTGTTCCTGACACAGAAATGTATCCTTGCGTCTTCCTTGACCCGACACTGAGCTTTGCCAGCATAAATTATGGCGCAGAAGAGAGGAGGAAGAGAGACATCTCAGATCTGACTCGATCTGAGCTTTTGCAAATTGGCCGATCTTGCAACCCCGATGTCCTTCGGCGGTATGGTGCTATCCTGACCAGATTGACTATCGTGTCATCGGCGCGTGATATGCCTGACCATATATCCAATACTAATTCCGATCATGTGCCCAAGATTCCATTGGTACTGGTAACGGGAAAATATAATAAACAGTTCTGGAAAGTCCTTCTCCACACCATTGAACCGGGAACGAAACTGCCCTCGATCTGCTGCTCTTCTCGCTACCCTCAGTCTGCGTATGGGGATTGTGCCTCTTTTAAAAGCAGCAGAGCAGGAGATGCTCGCATTCAAAGATAAATGGAATGACCTTTTGACGCCGCAGACATGGAATCTCGGATGCTTGACACTTCTCATCGACGCCGATGAAGCACACCAGAGACATCTAGATATGGATCTGACCGACAACCACTCCCGGATCTTGAATCCCACTGACAGAATACTGTTTGAACGTCTGGTTACTTGCAAACTTCTGGAACAGGCGATCTGGATTCAACTAAAAGCTCGAGTGCCATGGATTCCGAACAATACACTCGCATCAGTTGGACCACTAGTGACATGCCGAGAGTGTGAGTATCCTAGATCCGTCACTATAATGGGAGCCGATGGAAAATGCGGTCTTTGCCTCGGCGAATACGTCGACGAGAAGGAGAAGGAAATATGCATCAATACAGGAGTCTCAAAGGACGTAACCGCCACTTCCAGAGTCACCTGGGTCGAATGTACATCAATCTCCTGCCGAGCCCAATACGTTATCTATAGCCCTTATTTGGTGGCCTCTCTCGCGAAATGCCATTACTGTCGAAGCCAAGGGTCTCCTGCCCCAACCGTCCAGTGTAAAAAGTGCTCAAATCATATGATCTGGCCCGAAGAATACAGGCCTTCCGCGTTCAAAGAGTCAGACTTCATCTGCCCCCCTTGCACGTCAGGCCTTGTCCCAACAGCCAAGATCGAAGTGACACCACATGCACTATCAGCCGAGAACACATACTCCTGGCTAGTCCAAGATGCAAATGACCGGCAAGCATGGCCCTTCCGGGACGACTCCATCTTCCAAACCATCAGTAGAATGGGCAGTGAAGGATTCCTTTCCAGAATCAGTCTTTCCCCTTCATCTAAGTCCCAGCTACGCTACAATGGAAAACTGATCCACAATTCCAAGGCGCTAATCTCAATCCTCCAGGACCGAGTCGCAATCAGCAAAGCAAGCAACGCAAAATGTTCGATGTGCTTCCATAGATATATGTGCTTATACCCAGCCTGTGGACGGGATGGCTGCCGCCAAAAAATGTGTAGCGTCTGCTTGTTAGTGTGGTACAAGTACAACTCTGCAGGCTGTGTGATCAACCCTGCGGTGCTGGGATGTCCGTTCTGTCGTCGATACCCCACTCTTCGCCTAGTAGTGAAGTATGGATTGGGTATTCATACAGTTAAAGATTTTTCCAAAGCAGTCTGTGGCAAGGGAAAGTTCATTTACGCATGGTGCAGGAAATGTAATACTGCCAAGGTGGTGATGGAGCGGAGTTGTATGCTTGGCAAATCTCTCGAATTAACGGACTGGGTTTGTCATGAGTGTCGCGAAGCCATAAAGAGAAGGCAGCGCCAGATGGTAGATAATGACTGACGAGGATGGTTATCAATGGACAAGAACCCTCCAGGATAAGTAATTAATGGGATATTTCACTTGTGAATTGTCCGAACTAGCTAGCTACCTTGCAGGAAAAGATCTCGTTTAATGAGTACCACCCTCGAGCTCCAAACTAACATCACGTAGGAAAAGGACTCCCAAACAATGGGAGACAAAGTACTGAATGTGAAGAAAACCCCACGTAGAGGAGATCTCCAGCGGCGTTAGAAGAGCAGAAAACCCCCCGCAAAGAAATCACGATATTGGAAAAGACGGGAAAGCACAAAACATCAGGGGGTATGGGTAATGGTACAAAAATAGGAAAATTAGGGGCCGATGAGAGACTGGGGAAAATAATTTGCAGACTAATAAGGCGAGTTGACAACTTCATCCCTACCAAGACGACTGCTCCATCCACTGCGCGCACGGTTTGGTGTGGCAGGACCAGCGATGCTCTCGCGCGTAGGCTTCATGAAGGTACGCTTGGCGACCATGTTGACCTCGTTTGGCAGAGCAACGATGACATTCTTGTCGGAGCCGAATCGGAAGTTATCAGCCATGACATTCTCACCATACCGCTTGATGGTGTACGGGTCCTTGCGGTTGGCAATAACCTTCTTCATACTCCATGTAATGATGAAGGGACCGGTAGCGGTGACGATGCTAGTTTCCGTTGAGTCGACACCAGTGTTGAAACGTGCTGTGGTGAACGAAAGAGGCTGTTTCGTCTCGTGCTGGAACTGGGCAACGTGTGCGGGCTGCAAGCCAAGACGGCGGGGTTGAGGCTTTGAATCCTTCGCGAAAGCACGCTCGAATCCGAGCTTGCCCTCATTTTTGCCTTCCTTTTGGAGCGAATCAATGAGGAGAAGGTAGGTACGGCAAGTTGCCAGCACCCAGCGTCCATCTGCGGACACATCAAGACCGATAATCGGCTCGCCGAGAGCCGGGATATGAGTTTTAGCATTGATGCCCAGACGGTCGAACATGCGGATGTCACCCTTGTTAGAAGCGACAGCAAGGTATCCTTTCTCAGTAGTAGCCATAGCTGAGAAGTCATTCTTGCTGGCGTACTGCTTGAGATCAGAATCGACAAGCTTGTTGCCAGAAAGACGAGGGTCGATGCGGAAGAGGGCGTTCTTGGAGACACCAACGAATGGCTGCGCCGCGGTCATTTGCGCGAATTTCTGCGTGTTTCGTTAGTTTTATCCAGAGATAGATTTCAGATGGCGAGACAACTTACATTCTCGGGAGCGAATGTCTCCACGGCGATATCGTCATGGACCTTCCATTCGTCGACAATTTTGCCGTACTCCAGATCCATCTTGAACAGCGAGTTGGGATCATCTCCATTCTGAAGAATCATATTCTGATCCTCGGCATGGAGCATGACCTTCTTGGGGCTGAAGAGTTTGCCATTAGGGGTCTCGACCTTTGAAATAGTCGTGGAGAACTCAAGGTTGTTGTGAGCGGTGTGCTTGAAGACACCGATCTTGGACCCACGGACAACGAATGATCGATCATGCTTATAGCCGACTGCCAGTTGCGAGTTGACGTTTCCGTCTGCATCACGCGTGACAATATCTTCTTCCTCTTCATCGCTGTCATAGTGTTCACTGCGCTGAGCATCGTCCTGGTCGCCATCGTATTCCTCTTCGGCCTCTTCTTCTTCTTCCTCGACCTCTTCCTCTGGCTTGTCTTCGGAATCTTCCATGGTAAGGTCCTGGAAGGCATCAAGAACATAATCTCTGTCATTCTCCTTGACTTTAGTCCACTTCAACTCGTTCAGCTGTTCCCATAGCGCCTGCATCAGACCCTCCTGGAACCGTTCTTCCGAGGCTTGGTCCTTGAATCGCAGGAGCCATGAGTACGCCGAGCCATCTTCACTGTAATGGTTGAAGATAAATGAAAGATACTCGAAGTTAAAGACAGGGTTGATATCGGCGACGACAGCTTGTCCTAACCACTCTTTATCCTTGCCAGAAATCTGGAGCCAGTACTGCCAAGTACCAACCTCTGAGACAGTCGCAACAATGTCCGACTCCTGGAGCACAAAGGTTCCCGTGGAAAAGTCGAACAAATGCAGCTCGGCGTTTTCCTTGCAGAGAATCTCCTTGGCTTCGGGGTGGGCTGCAGATGGCGGGGCAGTAGTCGGTTCCTCCTCAAGAGTGGCAGTCTTGATCTGGCCCTTGGATTGAGCGTATTCCACGTCTTTTGTCATCGCTGCAACTGAATCCTCTGCTGTAAAGGAATTTCTGGTCGGCGAAGAGACCGGGCTCGCAGTTGGAATGGGTTTCTCTTCGTTGTATGAGAACTCCTGTAACTCTGCCTCGGTAGCCCTCTGTGCGCTGCGACGGTGTTTGCGTTCGTATTGACACTGGAGGGCGGCAAGCTCGAAAGTGGCAACTTTATCCGCTGGGACCGAAGGGTCGCAGATGAATTCAAAGAGATCACCAGCGTCGCCGCTCAGGTCATCCCAGGCCAATATCTTTGCGCCTCCGTCGCGGAGTTCAGAGCGAAAGTGGAGGGTCTGGTCCAGGAGGAAAACCTTCTCGTCCTTATCGAGGCCGTCGCCGGCGCCTTGCTCGCCGTCGTCGTCCGCAAGTTCTTCCTCGCCCTCTTCATAGGCTCTCTGGATGACAAGCTGGTATTGGAAGTCCTGTCCGGTACGTCGGATCGTGGCAGCGGCGTCCTTGAAGATAAGCTCAGAGTAGCCTTTAGGCGACTGTGGGCGGACGAGATACAGCTCGCCTTGGGGGATTTCGATGATGGTTTCTTTCGAAGCGTCACCAAACAAAAATTTGCTCACTATTGAATTAGAAGAAGAGGCGGAGATCAGTTTACTAGTTCAAAATACTAAATAACAGAAAAATGGCCTTATATGGAGGAGTTTGGCGGGGCATGAAAAGCGCGTTGCTTACCGTTGCGGAGCATAAACATGGTTGCGAGGGGCAGCTGCCAAACAAAAATTCGTGAGGCAGTTGAGAGGAGGAAAAGAGGTAAGAAGAACTGAAGGAAAAATGAGATAGGAAAGAGCGGAAGAAATAGGCACCGTAGCAAAGCCTCTTCTGCCTACAAGAAAAGGATAGGAAGAAGCAAAAGCAAGTCTTCTCAAGTGCAATAATCACAATAAAAATCGCTTCCGTCATAGATTGCAGGGTCGTGGCTGTTGTGGCTAATTGCTGAGGTAAGCATACCGCCTGCCTGGGCAACCTAGTCCGAAATAGGCAATATGCTTTCTACATTCACGGATGTTCTATCATTGTTCACTGTCTTTTGTTACCTTCTAGTCAGGATTTACAGAGCTGGGAAAGGTTAGTGAAGCATTAAAAAGGAACATTAAAAAGGCATAGCAGAACTTAAGTAGATCACACCTTGCACACGACAACCAATACCAGACTATTGATACAAGCTTATGTTCATCCATGGATATCTCAACCGCTAACTACCTCCCTTTGGGCATTAAAATATGTACAACATGTTCGTTGGATAGTTCACGCTATTCTTTCTCTTCGTTTTCGTCCTCGCTTCCTTCCTCAAAAGCTGCAATCTCCTCTAGCTGTTTCATCTGTTCTGCTTCGGCATCTTCTTCGTTCACATCTTCATCACCATTCTCGACATCTTCCTCGCCCTGCTTCTGATCTGCCCTCAAAGCGCCACCTTTCCGGGGAGGAATAACCTTCATGAACGCCTTGCCCCAGTCACGAAGTTCCAACCACTGAAGCATAATCTCAATGACATGGTTGGTGGCCAGTACCGGACGATGGGCCATTTGAATGTACTGCCCGATAGGCAATTTGGCAGTTTTGATGCCCTTTGCAACCGCTTCCTTGTAACAAATTGCCTTGTGTCGGTTTTTATCCACTAGTGCTCCAACAATATAAGTGCTGTAAGGCTTCAGCTCAGTCAGAGTATTCTCACTATCACTGCTGAGATATATGATTTCACCGTCCTCAGGCTTCGCATCAGTTTGTTCAGCGAACGGTCCGGCGAGTTGACCTCCTCGCGGGGCTGTCATCTGTTGTTTGGCCAGCTCGCCAGCACGTACAAAGTCATCCTGTAGAAAGCGAACCCGTTTCCAGTTTTTGTGGCATGCCAGTACGGTGTCAAATCGCTCCTTCAGTATTTTGTTGAATGACGAGAATATCATGTGCCCATTGTAGAGTGCGCGGCTGTTGTCCGAGTATGAGCGCGTGAGCTGACCAGCTAATGAGATGCGCTCTCTATCAGACATCAGATCGTCGTAGCCGCAATCCATCACGAATGTAAGAGGTAAGAGTGTTGACTTGGTGTGCTTGGCTTTTTTGCCCCGCCATAAGACCAGGAGCTTGTTGGCAGCTTCCTCGCCGCCTTTTTCTCGTGCCTCCGCGATCATAGCTTTGCGACGCTCTCGCTTTTGTATGATCTTGTCCTTCTTCTGGGACTTTTGAAGCGCGCGCTTTTGCTGATGAGCTTCCGCGCGGCGTAATTTCTTCATTTGATTTTTCGACATAACAGCAGGGGCCCCCTGAGCATCTTGAGTTGTAGGTTCATTGGCAGTTTTTGTATCATTGTGAACTGTGAATTCCGAGAGATCGAGAGGTTCGTTGCCAATCTGAGCGCACGCGGGCTCCGGCTCGTTGCTGGCAACATCATGAGTGCCAGTCATGGCCGGGCTGAGCTCCTCGTGTGTGGTATCTTCGTCGTGATCGAGTTTGGCTAATTTTCGAGGCCGCTCTTGCGCCTCCATAGTGGTGTAGTGGAATTGGCAAGCAAAAAATAAAGGTGGGCTGTCGACTGTAGATCAAAAGTTCAAAAAGCGCCCGCCCCGAAACCCATCGACCAATGACCTGCGCCGCAGCCCTCATTACTGTGCACAATCCACGTGACTATCCAGACCCAACTTCTCCAATCGTCACAGCGACTCCACGCTATCCCTCTAAGCCCCTTACCAGCTCATTACCGTCACAATGCCTCAGGATATGCCCCCAGCGGGGGGCTACGCTCAAGTCCAGTACAAG